TTGTTGTGGCCCAAGTGCAGGACCTGGCACTTGCCCTTGTTGAAACTCATGCCATTGATCTTGGCCCAGTGATCCAATCTATCTAGGTCCCTCTGTAGGGCTTCCCTATCCTCCTGGGAGTCAACACTCCTGCTTAACTTGGTGTCATCTGCGAACTTGCTGATGATACACCCTATGTCCTTATCGAGATCATCAATAAAGACGTTAAATAGAAATGGTCCTAGCACTGAGCCCTGAGGCACACCACTAGTGACCGGCCGCCAGCTGGATTTGATTCCATTGAGCACCACTCTTTGGGACCTTCCAGTCAGCCAGTGCTTGATCCAACAGATCGTATGCTCGTCCAGGCCGTGTGAAGCCAGTTTTTCCAGCAGATTTGTATGGGGGACAGTGTCAAATGCTTTTTGAAAATCCAGGTATACAATATCAACAGCCTTTCCCTCGTCCAATAATCTGGTTATCTTGTCATAGAAGGAGATCAAGTTCGTCTGGCAGGACCTGCCTTTCATAAACCCATGCTGACTAGGCCTGATCCCCTGGTTGCCCATTATGTGGGTTTTGATGGCATTCAAGATAACCTGTTCCATGACTTTCCCTGGTATTGAGGTTAGGCTGACCGGTCTATAGTTTCCTGGATCCTCCTTCTTGCCTTTTGCTACCTAATACACTTGTAAGAAGTGTCAGAGTTCAGGTATTCTTCCAATTTGGATAGCTCCATGCAATTTTTCTTTAACATTCTTTATAACTAAGGGCTCTTCAACTACTGACTATATCTAATAGCAGCACTGTGTGGCTCAACGACAGCACTGAAGACCTATTAAGTATACAACATGCATGCAAACTCTCTGCTCCCCATTGCCATCTCTGCATGGAAGCAGAGTGACAGACCTCTGATGTAATGAGGTGATAGGAAGAGAAGAGTGGTGCTAAGATAGGCGAAGATGAACTGTCTGAGCAGTTCTATCTCACCTGACTTGTTTCAGGATAAAAAGAAAAGGTGTTCCAGACTACCAGCCCTGTAATGTGGAGCTTAAGCTTCAGATGATAAGTGGCTCCATATTCACCAGGTCTTGGTCTCAGCCTAATAAGTCAGATCCTGTTTCCCTCCCCCCATTCAAAGACTTCAGACAAATCCAGTCATACTCCGTTGGACAAAAACCACTAGGAAGCTGAAAAATGAGTAGTCTTTGGACTACCTAACACATCAGTGATGGCATAGATAGAAAGTAGCCAAGGTGAAGGCTATCACGTATTCATGGTTGTTCACATTGTATGATATACACATAAGGATATGTTACCGAACAAAAAAAGATATAAGCATGCAACTTATCTGCTCTGCAGTGGTGGGTTGACCTTGGCTGGCTGCCAGGTGTCCACCAAGCTGTTCTATCACTTACCCTTCTCCCAGGACAGGACTTTTTGGGTCAAGATAATGATGGGGAAATCATTCATCCATTACCATTATGTGCAAAACTGACTCTATTTAGGGAAACTAATTTTATTTATTGCTAATTAATAACAGAGCAGAATAGTGAAAAACACAACAAAACTAGAGACACCTTTCCCCTACCGCTTCTTCTTCCCAGGCTCAACTTCACTCCTGAGTCTTCTACCTCTTGCTCCTGAAGGGGCAGAGGGAGGATGGAGAATAGGGGGTTGTGGTGAGTTCATTATGCCTTGTTTCTGCTGCTCCTTCCTCCTCATGCTATTCCCCTGCTCCAGAGTAGGGTGCCTCTCATGGAGTACAATCCTTCATAAACTTCTCCAACAAGAATCCTTCCCTGCAGTTCTTCAAGAACTGCTCCAGTGTGGGTCCCCCATGGGCCACTGGTCCTGCCAGAATACCTGCTCCTGTATGGGCTCCTCTCTACAGGCCACAGTTCTTGCCAGGAGTCAGCTCTGTTCTGGGGTTTCCATAGACTGCCACTCCCTTCAGGGCATGGCCACCTGTTCCAGTGTGAGGTCCTCCATGGGATGCAGGGTGGATATCAGTTTCACTGTGGTCCACCATGGGCTGCAGCAGAACAACCTGCATCACCATGGTTTTCTCCACACGTTGCAGGGGAATCTCTGCTCTGGTGCCCGGAACACCTCCTCCTCCTTCTTCTTTACTGATGTTGGTGACTGCATAGTTGTTTCTCTCACATTTTTTCACTCCTCTCTCACAGTGTGTTTTACCCTTTCTTAAGTATGCTATCACAGAGGCACCACCACTGCTGCTGATTAGCTCAGCTGTGGCCACCAGCAAAGCCATCAGCAAGATGGCTGGAGCCAGCTGGCATTGACTCTTTTTGACACAGGGGCAGCCTCTGATGTCTTTTCACAGAATCCACCTCTGCAGCCCCTCTGCTAACAAAACCTTGCCACATAAATCCAATACTATACAACCAAAACAAGCTGATGTTCTGTACAAACTGATGTACAGGGTATATTACAATTTTTGCCATTTACTTACAGTAACTCTTTGGTGTAGTTCTGCTTTTGTTTCATCATCATCTCTCAGGTCATCAGCAATAGAATTAAAACCTGATTGCCACTGAGATACAAACTCCTGCTTAAGATCTGGAAGCTTCAAATAATCCTGAAATCTTTTTCTGTAAGTTATGGTAAAAGTAATGGTGTTAAAAGACATATAGAATGCCACAGAGAAAATACAAAATACTCACATTAATGCAGTAAGCTACTATTTTTACTCACCTAATATCTGCTAAGTAATGAATTACAGAGTGCCGTTCATCCCTTAGATATCGAAGTACAGTTTTGATGGTGCTTATATATGAATTTTCTACCATTTCCCAGTAAGGAACTAAAAAACCAGGTATCTCCTGTGAATTTTTTAAGGACATAAAAATTAATTGATCTATTTCTTGGTAACCTACTTAGCTGTAGCATTAGCAAATATGAGAAAGATTGTCTCATTAAATCATATAACTGATTTTATTCACTATGTATTTTTATTTACAACTGATTATAGATACTGTACCAACATACAGTTTATCCTGTGCATTTCTTCGGAAAAAAGGGGGCAGTACTCAAAATTAATGAGAAACTCCAGCAGAATACTCCAGTATCTCTGGTTTTGGATATACTCATAAACTAAAACAAGACCCCAGGTGAGTACTTAAGTATCAAAATTTTGTGACACAACTATTCAAGCTGGTAAAAATCTAAGCTGCCTGTCTAGTGTTGCAAAAGTGACATTTGACTCACTGACTGTCACAAAATTCAAAATAAAGCTTATGGCCAGAGAAAATCCAGCATATGTGAGTTAATAGCAGCCATGAAAGCAAAGCTGGTAAATATTAGGAAAGGTATCACAGAACAAAATACAAAGCATCATCATACACCCTTCAAACCTGAAGCTCAAATACTGCATGCAGTCCCATCTCATCTCAAAAATTTACAGGAAAACTAGAGCAGACAGACAGAAGGGCAAGAATCATGACTGAACCGTTATAGGCTGCCCAGAATGGTGGTGAAGTCTCCTTCTCTGGAGACATTCAAAACCTGCCTGGACATGTTCCTGTGCAACCTGCTCTAGGAAGACTTGCTTTGGCAGGGGGGTTGGACTAGATGATCTCCAGAGGTCCCTTCCAGCCTATATCATTCTGTGATTCTGTGAACGTATGAACTGCTCCATATGAGGAGAGTTAAACAGATTATGACTGGATTGGAGAAGTAAATCAACACTGAGCAAAATGAAGGTGTAATAGATGCCACTCACATCTTAAATACCTTCAGAGAGTGATTATAGAATTGTTATTCATTATATCTCGCAATACAAGAACTAGGGTCACCAAATGACCCTAGCAAATAACGGGTTTAATGCAAAGTGACAGAAATAATTTTTCAGAATAAGTGTAATTATACAGGCTGTATCATGGAGACCAAAAAGTAAATTGCTTCAAAAAAAGCAACTAGGCATAATCACAGAAGAAAAGCCTACTGAGAGCAGCTCGACACAAAGATGCAGATATAAAGTCATCCCAGGAAATCCCTAAGTTTCAGACCATTGGAAGCTAGGAAGACATCCTCGGGGAAAACATGTTAGAAAACAGTATCCTTGGAGAAAGATCAGTGCACACTCTGCACATTCTTACATTCTTTCTGTGAGATTCTGCCCATTCTTACATTCTTTCTGTCAGGGGAGGTTATCCTGCCCCTCTGCTCCGCCCTGGTGAAGTCCCATCTGGAGTACTGTCTCCAGTTCTGGGCTCCCCAGTTCAAGAAGGACAGGGAACTGCTGGAGATGGTACAGCAGAGAACCACAAAGATGATTAGGGGCCTGGAGCATCTCCCCCCCAGGAAAGGCTGAGGTAGTTGGATCTTTTTAGTCTGGAGAAGAGAAGGCTGAGGGGGGATCTGATCAACACCTATAAATATTTAAAGGGTGGCTGTCAAGAGGAAGGGACCAGTCTTTTTTCAGTCCTGCCCAGTGACAGGACAAGAGGAAATGGCACAAACTTGTACATAAGAAGTTGCATCTAAATATGAGGAGGAACTTCTTCACTTTGAAGGTTGCAGAGCACTAGAACAGGTTGCCCAGAGGGGTGGTAGAGTCTCCGTTTGTGGAGATGTTCAAAACTCGCCTGGACACATTCCTGTGCAATCTGCTCTAGGAGGACCTGCTTTGGCAGAGGGGTTGGACTAGATGATCTCCAGAGGTCCCTTCCATATCATTCTGTGATTCTGTGAGATCCATAACTGGCCCTTGTCAGAGACGGGAAACTGACCTAGTTAAGTCTAGGCTAGTATTTCATAATATTAAAAAGTACTATTATTTTGGCATCCATGTGCTATTCTTCATCATCATTGTGAAGAATATAGAAAAAAAAGATAAAAATTTTAAATTGTGCCTCCTTATTTTATATATTTTAGTAGCAAATGTTATTTGTATTTTTAGATACTTATAATACAGTACTAGTGCACTTTCATTGAAAATTATTAAAGAAAATAACATGCAATGAGACAAAATATTTAGGTAGAATATCCATAAAATACTGAGAAAAATATATACTTTGATATCTAAGACTTTTCATCACGAATGGATGTACCTGGGGAATCGGTTCATCTACATAAATCCATTCATCTGATCCTGGTTCAATCGGTGATGGTGTCACAAGAGTGCGAGGAAGCAGATCTTCACGTGTAACTGGTAAAAGGTTTTCTCCCCGTGATATTTCTTGAGCCGACTTTTCTATATATATACTATTAGTACCTTCAAATGTATTTTAAGTATCAATAAACAGAATTAGATATCTATACTGTGACAAGTTCAAATTAACAGAACGGATTCAATACTTCTTTACTTAGGTGTTCATCAAAAAATACACTAATCAAATCAGTGATGCCATAGTAATAAACTCACTTTCCATTTAAGCTTATATTATGTGGGACTGATACTTTTCTAAAATCATCGCTGTAAAAGAAACAGGAAGATAATGAATTAGTATGTATGCATATATATGAAACAAATTCTTTACCGGGCTAATCAAGGCCAGCGGTGTTGATATCATTCTGAGATTAATTATAACTGTCATGATTTCAAGGACTCCTTTCTTAATTAAAGAATAGTTCTAAACAATTATAGCTTCCATGCTAGACTTAGGAAAGAGTGAATGAAGAGAAACAAATATTGAAGAAGAAACAAACAGATAAGTTAAGCTAAATCTGGCCTAATATGGAAAATATTCTTCTCTGAGGAGAAGCTGAGAAGGATGAAAAACGATGGAAGGAAAAAAAAGGACAGAAAAGATCATGTGGTAGAGAAAGAAATAAGAGAAAAACTAACCTATAGTATGGCAAAATAATACTGAACATAGTTCAGAGCAGCTTCAGAGCCTGATTCAACCCTAGGATCTGAACTGACCTCTGGAAAGATACCAGCATCTCGTCAGTGACCACAGAAGGATCCTACATCAGCTATATTTTTTAATTAACATTAATTAACTGCTCAGAATCATGTGCATGAATTCTGTCCAGCTTTGCTATGGATTTGAAAATACTCAAAGAAAATAAATAGGCTTGCATTAAACCACTGTTGTAACAATCTTGTCTTTTTGTTTGAAATAAGCTTAACATTTAAATAATAGATGTGTTTTGTTTTATAAGTGTGACAAACCTGCTACTGAAGAACAGTGTCTTTCTGAGTGCTTCAATGGAAAAACTGCTATCATTCTCCCGATTTAAGTTTATATAAAGAAGAAAACAAAACTGTCGGCCACATAAAATATTCCAACTACTTCAGCTTCTGCTAAACATTTTGAGAACAAATCTCTGGATTTAGCTTTACCGTGTCACTCCCAGAATGCTGCTAATGTCTGGTTAATTAATATACATACTCATACCACTGTTATGCTTATATAAACCTAATACTAAAGGATAGCTTGGAATCTATCAACATAAATATGGAACTAGGCATTATTAACTGATCACAGGGATTATTTCTCCATAGGGAGTAAATAGTTCTTGCAGTACTTCTACAAGATAGCTGGATTCTAATCAGAAAATCTCAACTCCGTTCACATCATTCACATCAATAGGAATTTTGCCATTGCCTCCAGCAGGGTTATGAGTTATATCAAGACACAAAAAACCCCCAACCCAGTTCCAACCAGGTAGTTCTTTGAAAGTGCTTCATCAAGTTTTCTATCAGGTGTGATATTCGCAAGAATTTTTCATTAACTGGAAACCTTGTGCAGGCGTAGTGGTCTAAGCTTTTACTGTTAAGTGTGATTTTCAAGCTTATACTATACTTTTTTTTTTTTTTTTTTTTTGGAAAACAAACAAACAATAGATCTGGCAAATACAAAATCTAACCTTCCTGTGACCACAGATATTCTTTAAAATTACAGTCAAATGTTATTGGAGAGAAACATGTTAATATATAAATGTTTAGACATCAAGAAGAGGGGTTTTCTTTGTTTGGTTTTGGGTTGTGGGGTTTCTTGGGGCTTTTTTTTTTTTTCTTTTTTACAGAAGGACTGTATTCTGAAATTTTTTTTTTTTTTTTTTTTTTTTTTGGGTGGTAGAAGACACATCAAGACTTTCCTGTAATAATTATGAAGAAAAACCTGGCTATTCAGAAGTCTACTACTCCTGGTTTATTTGATGCATCTTTTCCCCTGGATGCTTCATCCTTTTTCCTTTTTTATTTTTAAATGATTCTTTCTGTTTAAGAGATTAAGAGAAAAATGGAACAAAGATGCACCAAAACCACATGTCAAAACCACTCCAACTTATCCATATTTTTAAGCTGCTGCTGCTAAATGAATATGTATTGATAATGGCAAATTAGTCTTTCTTACACCATTACACTGTTCTGTACGCTGAAGATGCCAGCTGTAATATTGAAACCAGGACAAAGGACAAAGGACTGAATTTTTTTGAAACCATTTACTTCATGGAACTTAAAAAAAAATCCAATTGAGACTTTCTTTTGAATATTTTAAAACTTTTTTTCAAATTACCTTTACAATTATGTGAAAAAACACAATAGGAAATGTTCAGAATTCTGGTGCACTAACTCAGGTATCCCGAAAGTCTTGCAGGGCCAGTGAAAATGTATTTTTCCATAAACTTATATATATTAAGTATTAGTGTTAATTATAAAGAACAAAGTCTTTTCTTACTGAACTGCAAAAAGTAAGAATAGGAAAACTTACTTCTATTCTGTTTTTTGGCAATTTCTTCCATTATAATTTCCTTCACTGTTTCACACATGGCACTTTCTTCTGTCTCTGCATTGACTTTCACTAGAATATTTTGATGGACTGAAAACCATTTCTCTAATTTTGGCCACGTGTCTAGAAAGCTGGAAATTCTACAAAAATTATATTAATTCATAAAATTAAAATCTAACTGACGGAAAATAAAATGTTTTTCCAATTTAGTGAAAAAGCAGAAAAAAGCAGACTGTATAATTTAATACTATAACAAATCCAGGCCGTACTTTTTGTGAAGTAATAATCCATCACATCAACCCCTTAATTTTCAACAAATGAAAATGTAAAAAATCCCACTTTTAAATAGTCATATATTTCTTGCTGTTTCTTGTCACAAACTAGACCTACTTTCTTTCATCACAACTAAAAAAATTATAGTCAATAATATAATAATCTGAAAGTTAATAGTATCAAATATTCAGAAAAAAACCTTATTGTTCTTGATTTTGCTCTTTATGTAAAGTTAGACATCTAATGATTCAATAAAAAACACAAATTTAAAATCAGAAGATACCATTTTAGAAAATCTGTAAATCAAGTACATTTCACTTCATATGATGACACACCTCAGATATATGTATGCATAGATATATATATATATATGTACACCTATGGTTCGTGCAATATATATCTGAAAAAAAAATTCTCCTTGGAAGAATATCTTGGAAAAGCAAAACACATGAATTCTTATCTCCTAGGATTTTTTATACTGTGCCCAAAATTACTCTTCGGGCACCAATTAGAGAAACTCCTTAGTAAATACTTAACATTAGGCATGTCAGTACTATCATGGATGACATATGAGATTCAGATTAATTACATGCCTACATACCTGGCTGAAGCGACAATTTTGTGCTTCATGTAACATACCTGTGTAGCACCTGGTCCCTGGCTAAGTCAATCTTCTCCTCTAGGATTTCAGCATCTGAATTTTGATTGTTCTCCTGTTTGGTTTCAGATGACACTGATTTATCTGCTGCGTGGGAAACAGCGAATGAGAACATATATTGAAAAAGGCAGATATGCAGGTACTTATTCACCTGAAGTAAGATAATTGTTAAGAGAAAAAATTCAGTATTCCTTGATCTTAAATTTCTTAATTTAAAAATTGGATACCAAACTTCCTAGGAGAAAGAAAGTCTGAGAAAATCATAGAAATGTAAAATTAAGCCAGAAAGGACCTGAAGATAGAGTCTTGCCGCTTGCTCTGTTTAAATGCATAGCCAAATATAGCACTAATATATCCTGACATGCTTTGCAGTCATAGAAATCCCCAGTTGTAGAGAGGGAGCGTTGCCCTGGGTAGACTATTTCAGGCTTATCTAGTCTAACAGTTACAAGGTATTTCACCAGTCTGATGTGAATCTTCCTTGAAGTAACTAGTCATTTTCCCAATAAGCAGATAGGCCACTGCATGAGAAGACAAGGCATTCTCTCTCTGAGTCTTCTTTAAATTAAAAAAACCTTTTAGTGGATTAGAAATAAGTAATTTTTTCCATTTTTCCATTTTTTTTACAGATTTCTGATTTTTTATTGTTCTTTTGACTCCTCTTATCACCACAACATCTTACAAAACAAATTTTGTTTCGATTTCTGAGATTATATAATGTATTATCAAATTTCAAAGAGGTTTGGCAACAGAAGGTCCTTAAATTAACAAGAATTTCAAGTGTCTACACGTTTGTTTTCACCACATTTCTATCAGAAGCTCTAATGATTTTTCCTTATCCTCACTGCTACCTATACATAAAAGCTAATGGTAAATGGTGCTTTAAACCAAGCCATTTGCTATGTAAGTGCTGCAGTGAAAATCCTTGCAGATGAATCTCCTTGTAGTTCGGACAATATGGGACATATTAATGAAAAGAACTTATGTTTCACCAAGGTGAGTAAGGGCAATTAAAAGTGTGTAGTCTAGATGGGAAACAGCCCTCAAAAAGCCTTTGATATCTTTTCCTTTTTTGGCCAAAATTAACAATTTTTGATTGTTCAGTGACTAATTGAAGGCAAGACAAAGACAGTAATCAATAGGGAATGAGTGTTGGCAGTCCCAGGGAATGAGTGTTGGCATGTGCTTTTGTATATCATTTCCTTCACGCCTTTGCAAATGTGTCTTCTGGAAAAAAAATATTATGTAGACATATTCATTTGCAACGAGGCATAGTTCTGCATCTGCTGTAACTTGTGGGTTTTTTCCAGCTGCTGCTTTATGTGATATCTAACACCAGCCACTGTGCTATCTCAGCTCCAGTGAGAATTCACTACAAATATAAACAAGCGTAAACAAATGCACTTGCACTTTTTTGATCTGCCTTTGACTGAAACAAATAAAAGTATTTGAAATAATTGGAGGTATTCAAGATGATAATGCGCAACTAATGACTAGTGATATTGTGAGATGTGGAGAAATTGTGCTGTAGTGTTATTTTGCTCCAATGAGTTCAATTTACAGATATATCTGAAAATAATGTTTAGGATTAATGTGTAACTTATACCTAGTCATGTACTTTTAGACAGCTAAAGTTAAAAGGGGCCTTACAAATAGAGAAGAAAGCTGTCAAGAAATCGGAACAATTTCTATTTTCATAATTGCCAGAGGAAAATACAGATATTATATAATTTAGTATTTTTAATTAAAATATGCAACTTGCTATTAAGTTGCAAAGTACTCACAATTCAGTCATTTCAGTATTATAACAATCTTTACATCCTTCTTACATCAGAATCTGCTTGTCATTTTACTTTGTTAAAAATAGTTAGAAACTTACACTTCAAGTTAGCCACACGTTTCAGTGCCACAGTGTCTGAAATATCCAATAATACAGAAACATCAAATGCAGGTAAGGTAACAGGAGTCTTGTTAGGGGCTCTGGGGTCTGTAACAAGTGAGAGCTTTCCAAGATTTCCATCTTCCTCTTCTGGATCAATCCCTGTATAGGCTTTTTCAAATAGCTTTGCTTGATTAATTGTCATTGGAAACCCATCCACAATCCACCCCTTCTCTGGTGGTGTTTGGCTAAAAGTAAATGAAGAACCAGAATTATATAGTGAATTGGTAGTATAATAATAACACCTAAACTAAAGAAGAGCTTGCCGTAGCTGTCTCTCATTCTGAATTCAGTGTCAGAAATATCCTGATGAATACAGAATATGACAGACATAATTAAAACTTAAACTGTAAAGCAATGGATTTTAAATCAGAAAAATAACATCAAGCTTAACTAAAAGTGAAAGGCAAAACCAAAACAAATTTTACTGTCTTAATGAATAAAGTTCTCAAAAATACTCTCTATACAGACTATTATCAGAGGTGTAATCTCACTATTTTCTCTACAAAATTTTGCACTACAGTAAAAAATAGCAAAATCTGATTTGTACCTTTAAAATATACTAATGGCAGTAATATAACTTAAAAGATATTCTTGTGGGAACTTATGTGATAACTGCACATCAGGGTAGTTGAGACAATTTTCTCTCAACAGGAATAGACAAAAATAAGTAACCTAACTGCTGAAGTGTGAATGCTTGGATTACGCATTTCACAAAATGTAAAAGAAAAAAATCTAGCAGGTGCAGAATATATTCCAACTAATAAAGAAAATAGACATTAGTTATACTTAATGTCTGTGTGATAGTTGTGTGTATATTTTTATTTACCTTCAGTAGTGCACAGTATCATCTACATAATTTAGGGCTAGACTATACAGTTAGCACTCTAATGCTAATATAAAATGAGCATTAACTAACTTCACTAACTCACTCCACTTTCCATGTAGAAGACTCCAGTGTTCAAAAAATACCTTAATGAAGAGAAATGGTTAAATCTGGACTACAAGCTGGAAAATTATGTTCTAAATAACTGAGGAAAAGAGCTATACGAGTTCATACTTAATGGCTTCCAATAGGATGTCAATTAGTAATTCATCGGGGATACTTTTTCCTTTCTTCAACAATTTCTGTGATGCGGCGCCAAGCTGGGCACGTACAGATAGCTGTGGAAGAGTGCAGCGTAAGACTAATACGCTCAGAATGTTCACAACATTCAGCGTTAAAAAGAGTATGATTCTACTTTATATATTATTTAATTTAAATTTAATGTTTATTTTGTTATTACATATTATAAACTTATTATTATAAGTTTATTTTTATCTTCAAAGGAGAAAGAGTTTCAACTAAAGGCCTAAATTAATTGAAATCCCCAACTGATTTACATCATTATACATACAATAATGCAAAAAGAAAGAAAGTTCAGAAACAAAGGATATGAAGGTCAAGAAAGAAAAAAATTAAGTGTACTGGTTCAAAGCTTATTCTGATTTTCACTACCATAAATCCACTGATAGTTTCCTACAGCAGCATTAACTACATTAGTTCTACAGAGATTTTTTTTATATGTTAGCATTCTAAGTATGTTACAGTGAGCATTGAAATCAAAGAGACCATTGTAGAAATAAGTATTTCTGAATATAAGGAAAAGAAACCTTGTCATGGGATGAACGATCTGCTTGGCAGCAGCAAGATCAGGAATACCTTTTTGCTAACTCAGAGATGATGTAGAAAGTATGGTATCTTACATAAATGTGAGGTTTAACAAGAAGATGCATAACTTTAACATTATGAACAATCCTAACCAACAAAGGAATGGATTTTCCTAATAAACTCTTTTAATATTTAACAAAGACAATGCTTGCAGTGAGGTCAATAAATTAACTTAGAACAATCAAAGAGTGTTACCATTTAAGTAATTTAATCATTTTAACTAATGCAGCTTTATAAATTACTTTATGAAGTACTTTATAAGGTAGAAGCTCAAATTGGATTACAGACCTTGGATAGGTCTTCCTGACTGTAATCGGATTTAACTTCTCGCCCAGATGGATCCTTTTTCACAGGACAATTGCCTAAAACAGGTACATTATAAGGTTTGACAATTCTATTACTGTAATATTTATTACTACATATAAATAATAAAAGTATATTCCTCATTATTGTTCTTTGAACAAACCAATACAGGAAGTATATACAATTGTTAGAATCATGGGGTCATTGATTAGTTCATGTTAGAGGCAACTTCTGGAAGTCAATTAGTTCAATCTCTTGCTCAAAGTGGCAACAGTTAGAAGGCCAGACCGTGTTGCTCAGTTCTTTACCCAGCGTGATCTTGAAAACCTCTATTGATGCAGGCTACACTACCTTGCCAGGCAATTTGTTTCAATGCTTGATGGTTCTCATGGGTAAAGGACTTTGTCTTACGTGTATTTAGAAGGGAAACAAGAAGGGCTTTTACAGGTATTTCCACCACAAAAGGCAGGCTAGAGAAAATGTGGGCCTCCTGAAAGAGACATGAGAAAGACTGAGGTATCCGAAGCCCTTGAGACTAGCAGGAAAGTCTGCAGCGAAAAAGATTTACCCTTGGTGGAGGAGGTTCAGCTTCAGGGACATTTAAATAAATTGGAAATACGCAAGTCCTTGGCACCTCATGACATATACCCACACATGCTGAAGGACCCGGACAATGTCATTGCTAACTGTCATTCTTAATGATCTTTGAAAGGTCCTGGGTACTGCGGGAGATTCCTAGGATTAGAAGAATGCAACTGCCACTCCACTCCTCAAGGAAAGGATGAAGGAGGAATCGGGGATGTACAAGCCAGTCTCACATCAGTCCGTAGGAATGGATGGAGCAAATAAGCATGGAAACTGTTTCCAAGAATATTAAGGACAAGAAGATGACTGGGAGTTGTCAGCATGGATTTATGAAGGGGAAGTCATGCCTGACTACTCTGACAACCTTCTACAATGAGGCTATGGGCTCAGTGGTTGAGAGGAGATCAGGATATGCCATTTACATTGACTTTTGATACTGTCTTCCTTAACATAAGGAAACATAAACAAACTCATGAAGCACAGACTGGGTAAGTCGATGCTGAGGTGCCAGGCTCAAGGCAGTTGCCCTTGTCAACTAGCTCACCTTCCTTCATGGAGCAGCTTGCACTTGCTACTCCCAGACTCTAGGATTGTGTGGAAACAGGAAATTCATTATGGAAACTACCGTGAAAACTCAGATGTCATGGATACTACCTCAAATACACAACAAAAAGGGCAATTGCCATTTAAATCTAATGAGATAAGGATTAAAATTTAATTTAATAAAAATATATATATAATATAAATAAAATATATACGCACCTGGGGTTTCATTGACAGGTGTTTCTGTTTGGAGTTTCTTTAGAACTTTCAGTGGTGATAAATTCATCTGGACATTGTATTATTATGGAAGGAAAAGGATTAAAAAAGAAACTGCATATTACAGGAAAAACAAGACTGTCAATTCAAGTAGACTCTTGAATCTTTTAAGTCAAAACATAGAATTAAGTTTGAAACTGAGTAAAAAATTGAAACAATATGCTTTTTCTGTATATATTTCATTCTTATCTCCCTGTGGGAGCCAAACCCAAAATTTATGAAAATTCTTACCTCATTTTTTCCCTCAGAACTCTCTGCTTTTTGTGGAATCACATAGTGTTCACTTTTCATTTCATTTCTAAGAAAAGCTTGGATGGCCTCCTGAACCAGAGTATCAAGAGATAGTACCTGAATATTGCAAACTAATACACAAAAAAACCCAGATAAATTTACTGTTTGAGTTGAGCATACATACATAGAGACTATTACTGGCAATTAAATTAATGATTTTGTTTGGGCTTTTGATGTGGTTCATTTCCACTGGCTCTTCTTTGTAACCACTGCACAGTGTGTATCCACAATCATATAGTTATCTTGCAAGTCTCTTCTACAACAAACATCACCAGAGAAGATTGTCAAATGATTTTTCAAATTCTCTATGCAGAAGTAATACTATATTAACACTAAATTCAAGTTCAGGTATTTTTAACCTCATTCTGGAAGATAATGGAGGAATGACATGCAACCAACCCCTGCAAAATACAGATGCATTTGAGGGTTGAGGATTAGTGATGCAAGGATTTGCCCAAACAATTTTCATTGTAAGAGTGGGATTTTAATGCTAATAAATATTTTTTAAGAGTTTTAGGAAAAAAAAATAATCTCTACCTTTTTCAATAAACTTTACACAGGTAGTTTTTCCACTAAAAAGTTTTCCCAAAATACATCCCTTGATAGGAAATGGAGGAAATACAGGTAGTGAAGATTTGGGTTTTGGAGGGTAGAAAATCTCCATCAGCCTACGAAGCACATGACCCAATATGTTATTATTAAGAGGAGGTTTGTTTTCACTGTTTTCTTCAGTCGGGCACCATTCCCCTGTCATACTCTGTATAAACGACAAATTACCAAATGATTTTTCAATGTGCCTTGTCTTTCATCTTCCTAGATATATGTATTAATACGTAAACGTAATACATACAATCACCAAATCTGAATAGAACTAAGTAATAAAATATTTTTAGAACAGACTCTTGCTATAAGCTATAATTATGTCATAATGATTAAACATTTATTGATATTCACTAATACCTAGTTGAGAGAGACATGTACTCTTACAGCCATTTTCGTAGATTCCTATAATAATTTTTTTTTAATTCCATAAATCATTTCACCTATACCCTAGAATGAATTGGTAGCAGATTTTTAGAATAGAAGCCCAGTGTCCTAGTATTCAGCATTCTAAAAACTGGCAACGTTATTGCCCAGTATTTCACAAAAATCTAGGAAAATTATTATGCCTAACACACATTCAATAAAGAGAAAAAAAAAAACATAAACCATCAACCCAAAACAAACATACGACCATATAATTCAAACAATTTTAAGGGAAGGAAATACTGAGTAGAAACTTCCAGTTCATCTACTCTGAGACCAATACAAGTTTACAGGCTAATGAGGTTTTGCTAGTAAAGCTGCTTTTGCTCAAAATCACATTTGAAGAAAGATGAGAATGAAAGGATATAGTCAAAAGAATTGAACATGGAATTGAGCTTTTGCCACTCTAATATCTGCTCTACCAGCATTTGATCTTAAAACACTAGGATAGTCCTGATGTGCAGTTTTTAGTATGCAGGATAATACTAATCCTTTATTATTTATTATTTGGTTGCAGGCTACTGAACAGCTGTTTGCAAGATATGTGGACTAACAATACTCCAATTAGATCCTAGCTTGTCACCTCATAGCGGGTGCACAATAAAGGGTTGAGAGAAATTTTAACTAGGAAAAAAAATGTTCAAAATAAGAGTGGTTAAATACAGGACAGTTGCACAGAGGGTCTGTGGAATCTCTATCCTTGGAAATACTTGAAAGCTGACCAGACACAGTGCTGAACCATCTTATCCGACTCAGACATTGGACTTGCTTTGAGCAAACAGGTTGATCTAAATGACCTCCACATCCCTTTCAGTCTAAACAATTGTGTCATTCTATAAATTAAATATTTAATCACCATCAACAGAAGCAATCAGTTTCAAATTTCTGCTGAAATAAAATGTTTTGAATTCATGTTCCAGGTATAATATGCAATCTCTTCCTGAACTTACTATCATAACCATGTGTTGCCATAGCATACATCTTACTAACAGAACTTGATCTGTGTGGACTTTGAACATATGTGCATGAGATAGAACAACACAGTGTAACACAGTATGACTCTAAATGAAAATATCACCTATTTTTAATCAGTAAAACCAAACAAAAAAAATCTTTTTTGTGTCACACTAGAGAGGGTTTATCGTGCATCTCAGAAAAAACACTTCTTAATATGTAATTGAAAAGACATGCTTAAAAAACCAAAATCCTTGTCCTTTCTGAACCGTTTTTCCTCAAATATATAAGCAGTTATGAAAAAGTTGTTTTACGTTCTACCAGACCTGTAGGAAACATTAATTCCAAATGGAATGGGCTCCCCATTCCAAGTACTCACCTTCCAGATTTTTAACCAGAAGATTGCTAGACTGTACCTGTCCTGAACTAAAGTAGGTCACCTGTCAGAAACAACTTTCTGGGTATTCAGGTGAAAGTTATATAACTCCTGGTCAACACTCTCGATTGAAACCAGAAATAATTTGATATTTTGAGCAGTGCCTACTGTTATCCTTGTCTTGGGTGATTCCATTAATTTATTAAGTGATTAGTCACAATTGATGATGTGGTAGTTTCCAGTTATTTTCAAGCTCAATCTAATGTGGAATGTGTAATGGACTGATGGCACTGTATTCTGTTCTCATATTTTATCAAATATATTTGACACTTTTAGTCAGTATTCCTAATCTAAATTTAGTATTTTTGGGAGATGTCAAATTCCCTGTGATGGGCCTTTTTCCCAAGGGCTAAGAAAGTCTGCATAAATTTTGCCAGAATGTCCTGCCAATACACTAAAAGCAATACTTTAAAGGTAATAGCTGTTCACTTGGGATTTTAGAAGACATAGGTATGAATTAGTGCCAACAATTTTACACATCATAAAATACCAGCTTTTGATGGACAGTGATTCAGAAAAGCATGAGATTAACAACATCTGGAAAAAAATATGTGACTCTGCAATTGAAACAGGTAGCAAAAAAGAGGCTTTAAATGTGTCATTAAATACTTGAGACCTTCAGAGCCCTTACATCTAGAGAAGAATGCTGAGACTTTGTAATAAAAACAACAATATGACTGAAACTTATTTTTTCATTAGTGGTCCCAACTAACTGCTTCCTGCCTGTCTGTCCTATATGTTCTCCCTGTTGGTCTTGTATATATGCCTTTTTTCACCTAAAGAAAGTAATCATCATATTCATTACATGAGTTGATATGGTCTGAGCAAGGACCTTACAAGTTGATAAACCAGAAAAACATCTTAAGATTGAAAACACAGTAAAATGAGCTGCCAGGCATTCATCACAGAAACTTGTAACAAACATTTATAACACATTGCAAAAGTAAATGTACTAATTCCTTCAGGATGTGGATAAAAGCATATATATTGCAGTTATAAATTCCCAACAAGTCAAAGACAGACAGACAAAATTTGCCTAATTTTGGCATATTATTGTTAAACAGATTATTTCAAAAGACTAAATATGTAGTAGGATATTTTTTTTCTAAGAAAAGCATCATTAATGTAATTTTGAAAAAAAAAACGTGTACAATACTTTTTAACAGGGAAACATTAATCAATCCTTCATACTTCGCTTGTAAAATTATATTAATGTATTCTAAAGTTGAAAAAAAGTTTTAAGACACCCTAAAAAATAATTACTTGTGTTCTAGCAGAAGGTTAACAAAAATGTCATCCATTTCTAAAAATTTCCACAAACATTACAATCTTAAAGTAAACAGATCACACAAACCAAAAATATCCTATTAGAAAGCTTTCACCCAAAATTGCTGAAATTAAGACTATCAGCTTTTGTAACAGATACAGTGTTTCATTTTACTTGCTTTTCCTGGCTACTTCCTGTTGCACTTTTCAAACATGGTTTCAAATTTCAATTAACTAAAAATTAATTGCTTTGTAATTAATGTGTTGGTCCTATGAATTCAAGAGAGAAATATAATCAATGTTATATACAAGAGTGAAATTGTAACAGTGTTTTAAAATTGCACCAATTCTTCAGTGCTACTAACATAAAATACAGCCATGTGTTTCATATGCAAACTCAGACAATGAAAAGAAAATGCATATCAAAATGTGATATCACAAACAAGGGAAAGAACAAAATGAAACAACACAATAAAATGTTTATGATTATGAAAAATCAAGCTGTATTATCTTCCATTATTTGATGTACCTTGTATTCCTCATAATCTTTTTCATCTAATAGATTCATTTTATTCAGCTCTACAAGTTGTTCTTGGCTTGGTTCATTTGGCAAAGGTTGAATTGAGGCTTGTTCATATACTGGTTTTCCAGTAAAAAAAAATTCCTTCCAATCACGCATCAGTTTTAATGGAATTTTTCTGCAGAAGAAAAAAAGAAAAAAAAAAAAAAAAAAAAAAAAAAAGAAGTTCACAGTAGTTCTAGTTTAAATATCTGTTAAAATTTATTTCTTACTGAAAGTTTAAAAAAAAAAAAAGAAAGAATAGAGCAACATTATTTAAAAGCACGAAGCCAAAAATAAATCATGCCAAGGGCAGCACAGCTTGTTCCACTATAGGGTGGATCGTCCTGGATGACCACAGCAGGTGAGCCAGTGCCCTTCTGATGAGGTCCCACCTCAGCAACAGCTTTGCTGCTGACTATCCTTGATGCCACAGGACACCACCAAAGGTACCGTGTCAGCGTAGGCTCCCCATAGTTACAATGGGCCATGAGGTGGAAGTTGGAGGAAGAGGTGAGATGTTAAGACTTCCAACATGGTCCCCACGGAGCCGGCAGAGTAACCCCACAGGTTACTGACTTGCTTCCCTCCTCATCGACTCCTCCCAGGCCCATGGGCTACTACTTCTTGGGTTTAATATTTTTCCTAGAACTTTTTTTTTTTTTTTTTTTTTTTTTTTTTTTTTTTTTTTTTTTTTTTAAAAAAAAAAAAAAAAAAAAAAAAAAAAAAAAGAGAATGAGTTCCAAAACAAAAATGATAGTGATTAAATATTTGAGAACAGTGTACCCCAATTTACAAGAATCGTAATCATGAAACAAGCATATGCTTATAATGCTTTCTATAATTATTACAGCTTTTTACAGATGCTTGGTTACTTATATGACAGCTGGAGGCACTTGTAGGCTTCAGTATTTTCACAAATGTGTCACCACACAGTATTTGACTGGCAGCACACTGTAATAACAGCTCTTCTACAGCTATTTTTATCTGCTCCAAAATATTCCTCCTTTTCGTGGGGTAAGGCCTCCTTTCATCAAAAATCTATAGAATTTTTTCCTGAGAGCTAAAATTAATTTAGGATTATATGAGTAATAAAACTATTATTTTTTTTAGAAAGGAAAAATATTGATCTGAAACAGCAAGACAAACTGCATACAGTAGCAAGCTAAATACAGTCAGGATACTGACATATGTCACATTAGAATTCTATAGCTGTTAAATAAACTATCTACTAAGATTACATCAATTTGGACTTTTTTTTTATTAATGATTGTAGATAGTTGAGTGTTATAGCTTTAAATAAACTGTGCATGCACTGTTGAAAAATAATTCAATATCTATTGTACACATCCTGCACAATTAAGTACACAGAAGGACAGACACACTATACCTATAGGGACAGTAAATGCAGATGCAACCTTGATATGCATACTTTGGAAAGATATTTGAAATATCTGTACATGTTGTGTACCACCCGGGACCCGAAAACGTGACACTAGCTTACAATGGAACCATCATTAAATATGTAGATCAAATCATCAAATATGCAGATCAAATCATCACTAAACTGTGTCTAGGCTGAATGTTTAATCAGGTACTTTCTGGATGTAAATTTATATAATTTCCATAAAATATAATCATAGGTATTTCATATGGTTACAGTTTTATTATTTTAATATACAATTAAACTAAAAGGCAATGGAGATTTTTACAAACTTTCTCATGCTCTAAGCCTTACCCCATAGTCTAATCATTGAATACTAGTTAAAGAAAAACAGCAACAATGCCCCATTCTCTGGTTTTGGAAATACTCCTACAGCACAGGCACTTAGCCGTTGCTAATTTTTTAGGACCTTCTCAGAAACTCTGTGCAATTAGGGCATGCCAAAAGACAAAATCACAGCGTGTAGAATTTGGGAGATTTTTTGACTTAGGACAGTTCAGGCAGGTTGATAAATCTTAGGAAATTAATTCTGTTTATATGACACTGAGAAAGTGATCAGTTAGTGGAGCAATCTAGAATGAGATGAGCACCACTCAGTTTTTAACTTTTAAACTAAGGAATTTATTCATAAAAAAGGGAACCGGTAGTTTCACAATCTGTAGAACTAGCGGATCTTGGTCTTCTAAGGATTTAACTTAGATGAGTTTTCAAAAAATTATGCTAAAGCTTTAGTATAAGTTTACCCTGTATTACACTAGTGAATCCTCACATGAAAGTAATATAACCATTTTCCCATACAAACTAATTAAAGCTGTCCTGTAAGATATCTGAGGATTTATGTAAGACGTTATGATGCTTAAACCAGTCTGAATAGTGAAGCCTAACAGCTACCTAACAACTGCTACTTTTGCCTAATTGTTACCATACTCACTTGTTTGTCAGGAGACGATATTCTCCTACTTTTGTTGCCAAATCAATGATTTGGTCGACCACTTCCCAACATACAGAATAATGCTTTTTATAACGTGCCTGAGCTCTTTCAACAGCAATTTTCTCATGATGTTCTCTTTCTTTGGTAATTTGTTCTTCATGATCAATTTTTTCTTGTTTTGCAAGAGCCTAGAATTTTTTTTAAAGAGTAAATCTGAGATTACAAAGAAAATGAAAGGCAGAAATGCACAGTCCTAGAAACGAATATTTAAGTCAAGAAATGAAAATAGCTGGATTCTCATGAGAGCAGATTAACACATAGACAAATCTCAAAACTTGTGTTCATTCTATAAATTCCAGTTTGTTTGCTTTCTAACTGCTAAAATATAATGAAATAAATGAGAAATATATTACTTCTTTCATGACAAATACATTAAGAAGATATTTGGTGCTTAAGGGGCTGGGAAATGTGTTTACTCTTCCTAAGGAAGAAACTATGTAGATGCATTGGTAAAGGCCTAGTTCCACTGAAACCCACAACAGAATACTCATTTAGGATATGTGACAAGTAATTTAACTTACAAGATTCTGATCTGCAAATAATTTGATATTATTGATAATGTTCAATGTTTGAGAAAGATTTCTGATCATGATAGAAAATTATCAGTAATTCCTTTGATGGTGTGTCCCTTTCAGCTGAAAGCATACTTAGAGAGATGTTGTAATCAATAGCTATAGCTGCTGATTACATAAGACTCCAGGTGTGTTGGAGGATTTGGAGCTGCTAATCATTTTTGGCAGGAGCAAACTAAGATTTCTACCATCACGTTATGGCCTAGTAGGGGCGTAGCACTTGGCACTTTGCCACAGGATCATAAGTCCTTTTAATGTATTAATCAACTCCAAGCTCCGAGATAGAAATTAGCACTCCTGAGTGAAACTCCTCCAGCATTTGTCAAAAATGGATATTAACAGATTACATCTAAAGGAGATGAAAAATTTGATTCTTGAAACCCTATGTCATTGTCCTTTGTCATTCAGGCTCTGCAAGGCTGTGCCTTTTAAACTCAATGTACTGAGATGTTTTCCTACAATGTTAAAATTGGTTTGGAACAAAAGAGCAAAATTTGACTTTAAGATGCTCGCTTTTTCCCTTGTTAACTTAGTTGTAACACTGAACGTAGATAAAAGAATACATTCATCATTAAATCACCCTGTCTTAGAGTTGACAATACAAGTTCCATTTTATATCAGGAGGGTATTATAACAGTCCTGCAGCTATTCAGGGAGCAAATGATTTTTTTACCGCTTCTCTATCAAGAGCTTCCTGAAACTCTTTCAGTCGTCTTTCATCAAATTGTTTCTCCCTGAAAATTCTGTTTTGTCGTAACACCTCTTTTTCATGTCGAACATGCATGAGTTGAACAGCAATCCTTCGCTCCTGCTGAGATTGTCTCATTAGTCTGTAAATAAGTTGCTCCTCCCGGTAAGCTTCCTAAAAGATAAAAAAAAAAATAGTATTAAGACAGTTTATAAACTGTTACAGAGACAACGCATCAGTGTCTCATATGAGAGACATGAATGGAGTCATATAACAGTATTTACCTCCTTATTTGATATATAAATCCAGAACATATATATTTATTTATCAGTACTACTTTTGTTAACTATATAAGAATTGTGGAACTCCAGAAGTGAATTCTAAATATGTCTTAACTGAGATACTCAGAAAAAATACATTTGTTCAGACTAACTTAATTTTAACTTGGAAATTTCCTGTGCACAAAGAAACTGTAGCATATTTCAAATAATTGCTTCTGTATGTAAAGATATACCCTTTCCTCAAATCATTAACTCATTCCTGCTCTTCACCAGCCCCCATTCTCAGCCATACTCTGCTGGATCCTTGATCAATCTGTTCTTCTACAGATTTGAACTTTTTCCTTCTTTCTTTAGGTAATTATCTCTCCTGTCCGCATTCAGGAGACTAGGAATACAAGGAAGCATTCAGAACAGAGGGAAATACAAGATTTGTAGGTAAGAGTTTCAGCGTTCTCAGGGGGACATAACTAGAATTCCCTATTCAGTAATATAAGAAAACATCTTCAAACCATTGCTTGAAGTACATTGCTTGTGGTACAAACCATAAACTGGATAGTGCAAACAGTTGGCTCAGTGAGAAATCAAAGCACCTAATCTAGGTGAATGTGCTCTTTAAAAAAAAAAGGGAAGATGCTTCTTTATAACACTTCTGAGCAGCTCAAAGAGAATTTTTCTGTGTTAACTGAAGGGTAGAGAACTTTCATATTCTAAGTGATAAAATATTTTGACAGACTGAGTAGGCCTAAGAAGAGCAAGCAGTAAATTTTTACCAAACAAGAATATATGAAAAGACAATCAATTCAGAGCTACAAAATGGATAAATTAAGATTCAGAACACCAAACTCATAATTGCAAAAAGGGTGCTTATTGGGTAAGGGAATGAAGCATTGGTAGCTATCTTTCATACAAACAGGCGTGGACAAAGTTCTAAAACGTAAGGTTGAAAAGCACTGAAACTTCTGGGCTTAACAGGAGACAAAATAAACACGGTAGTATGATTTTTTGACCTAGCTTTTTACATTACTTCTTCACAGAGTACTGTGAAGTGTCTGAAGAAATCACCAATATCATAAATGGGACATCTTAGTAATAGTTTGAAAAACTACTACTGAGAAAGCATACTACTAACTTTCTTTTCAGTTTACCTACTTGAGACAACAGTGGCATCCAGTGGTAAAACATCAATGTGTTTATGTTTCATGTTCATGAAATTACTATGTCACATTTTTCTACATTTTTGTTTCCTTTTTTAATTTACGCACAAATAAAACAATTCCCTTCTATTGTGTAATCATAAAATTTATGACCAAAACTTGCAGCTTAATATACATAAATCTATTTGGTTGACAAGCAATAATGCATTAATGATTTCCCCTCCCATTTTTATCTTCTCAATTTATTGCTGACAGAAATTTCTTCTTGACAATCTTTCAAACTCAGAGAGATAAAAACTGAACAGAGTATTTAAAAATAATGAGTACCTAGAGCAAATACTTTGTTGAAATTGTGGAGATCAAAGACCTCATTGGGATGAAAGTCAAACACTTTCAACTCCTGCCTATGAAAATCTGACTGGCATCACCCTGTGCTCCCCATAAAGAAGTGTCACATGATTGTAAAGTATTTTTTCTCCAAGGGTCCAACTGTAGTGTGGTCAAGTGATCTCAAGAATTTGAATATGATTCTTTTAATAGAGGTTGATACATATGGACATAAGACACATGAAAGCACTCTGAAGGGATGAAATTCATTTGACTCTAAATGATCCCACGTGCTGCGTTCAAGTTTTATGCGCTATAGGTAAAATTCTGACCTAATGTCCATATGAAAGCTACAATTTCAGTCTGCAAATTCTCTCTGGTTCCATGTCTAATGGAAGGAGAAAGTAATTTTCAACTACTTTGTATGTTTACTTATTTTTTAAAGATAGTATCTCAGTTTGCTTCAAACTTCTCTGTCAAGCAACATCTAATTTCTGAAATCTCATGGAGTTCCAACCAGACACCTCTTCCTCTGCTAATTTAGAACCAAATTACCACTAAATAGATTCTCTGATCTGGTCAGACTACTCTTCCAGTCAAGCGCTCACTTGTCTTTCCTTCTAATTCCTGCAGTCTATGACTTCTGTTGTTCCTATATCAGTACTGATTTTTCTTCCTGGGAAGTTAGGAATACTATTGCTACCTTTCCCTTGCTTTAGAGCCTCACTGGAGCCAGTCTGATTGGCAGGACATTGCAACAATTCCTCCATGTCAAACTGAGAAAGCTGGTACTATAGCCATAGGTGGACCAACTGCCTGACTTCCTCTACAGCACTGGCTGGCTTTGCGGGCTTAGAACTGCTGTATCCAACAAATGTCCAGTGACTGCTGCTGGCCACGTAGCCATCAACCCATGGCCATGACTATAGGAACCACTAGTCCAGGCTGCTGGGATTGTGCTGGGGCTGAAACAGCTAATAGCAGGTAAAGAACAAGTCTGGACACTACAGTGTTTTCAGACAACTGGGTTACAAAACTTCTTAATGACCTATGCATATCAACAAGAACATGATATAGAATCTCTTTGAATGAGAGCTCAGGGACAAGATACACAGATTGACAGACTCTTGGCTATGGTCCCATAGGTGTTTTTCATATAGGTCTGGTATAGATATTGAGAAGTAATCTAATTTCTTTACAAATTTAATTTTTTCTTAACTCCAAAACTGTCTGCAAACATTATATGTCAATGTTTTTATAAATATATGTGTGTGTATATACACACACACATAAATTTCATACTTTTCCTTTTCAGAGGTGCTACACATCTGAACTGCTATAATTATGCAACAGCAGTAGAGAGATGCTCGGCTATATCAGGTTCAACCCATATGATCTAAGCTAAGGTCTCACAGTGCCATACTAAGATAAAAGATAACTAGAAACCATAGAAACTCAGTAAGTTCCAAGATTCTGTTTTGGTACAATCATTACAAAAGGGAAAATTTGTGAAGTCAGTAATCTTAGGAGCTGCTTTTTGAATGAGGAGTGTCTGAGGAGGAATCTGAAAAGCCTTGTGCTTTACTGATGGGATTCAGATGGAATAACCTGCCAAATCCATTTTCAGACACAACACAGACATCCTCCAGAGACACATATTCTATTCCATAACACAACAAAAATCAAAGCTCTGATCTGAAAAATAAGTGTTTTATGTCTTCATATCACCCAGAACAACCATTTCAGAATTCATCCAAAACTTTACATGACACATTTGTAAATCCAGGTTTTCAACCAAGGAATGCCATGTTTGTTATTTTTTAATAAGTATCTTCTTCAGAACAGGTATACATTTTGATTATTTAAAGTTCGACTTTGGTAGGGGGATTAGAAAGCATCAGTCTTCAACTGGTATTTAATAATCTTAGCTCTGCTGCCTTCATTTGATCGTTTATGATTCATAACAATGAAGTATGACAGAGAGGTGGCAAGGAAGAATGAACAACCCTCCATATTTTTCAAGGAGAGACAACAGTTGGCATAAAAGTTACTTCCAGAGATAAGTGTATATGCCTCCCTTTAGCCCCTCCAAGCTCTATTCAACCTGCCAAAAGTACTCTTCTTTTATATGATTTTTAGATCACTCATTTTTAGTAATTTAGATTACAAATTTTTAGGTTACTAATTCTGCCTGGGTTATATACTTCAGTGTACATTTTCTCACCTCTTCAGCTTCACGTGCTATTAACTGTTCCATTAGCATTTTTCGTCGTCTTTTTTCTCGTTGTTCTCTAGCAAATGTATCTTCCTCTAAACGTTTTCGAATTTTCCTTATATATTCATCATCTGAATAAACATTTAACAGCTCAGTTGCTGTCTGTGCTGTAGTTTCTAGAGTTGTTTCTTGCAACTTCTGTGTTTGCAATGATTCTTGTATATCACTGATTGAAAAAATTAAAAAGAAAAAGATCACTGACTTTATAGGAATTATGGTTCTTGGAGGTGTTTTTATAGAGATCTCCGTACAGTTATGCGCAAGTCTAGACAAATGCACAAAAATAGCACTGTTACTACTTCTCGATGCTCTTGTGTCCCACAAGAACAACTAAGTTGACAAAATTACTATTACTTAAGATTATTCATACATACAGATTCAATGTACAGATAAGTCTAAGGAGAAAGGTTGTTTCTATTTTCTTTGAAATGTGTTACTGTGCACATACATCCTCAACATTCTCGCCTCCCTGCAAGTCTAACTGACCTTAATGACTGAAATGAACAGAGAAGAGATGCACTTTGTGTCCTTTGTTGCTGGATATATAGCAAAAAGGAGAGAAGGAAGTTTGAGCCACCCCTACTACAACTAAAAGTAAGGTAAAAACACTCTAAGGGGGCAGGAATTGGAATATTTGCAGTGCTAGTGGTACAATCACTCAGAGGACAATCACAGTTTAAACCAAACAAGCCATTACATTTTCCTCAAGTAGCTATCTGGATAGATAGTAGGCACCTGAGGTAGGATCCTGTCTAATCATAACAATCTAATATCCAAATATTACCTGTCAGTGACTTGGCTGTATACTGCAGAGGCATTTCCTGCCATAGACTTCTCAAACTTTTTAATCTCCTTGTATGTATCCTGAAGAAATACGCAAAATTTAATGATTTTTTTTTCTCTGCACAAAGCATCAGAAGAAAGATTCAACAAACCAAGTATTAGGGAATTATTTTTATGTCATGTTAGCATAACAGAAATATTTACTCTGAAAATATTTTAAGCATCAGCTAGATCAAGAAAAAATAGCATGATCATTTTCTTCTTCTACCTTTCATTTCCTTCCCCCTTCCCCTTTTCCTATTTCTACCTATGCCCAAGAGCCAGAAAATGCTCTGTGGGATAATTCTGATTTTACATAGGACTATAGCTGTTTATATAATTCCCACCATTCAGAGATTTGAACCAAGATATACTGGGCTATGATCTGCTTTAGATTTAATAGCTTGAATTTATCCCTGATAGTTACTCAAGCAAATATGTTCCTACACTCTACATTTAAATGCGTCTGTTGCAGTTGTGCAGCTGTAAAAACTGATATTTGCACTCCTGATGACAATACAATCCATGAACTGTAAGTTTACTAGGTAATACAGAAATTTTTTTTGCCTGCATTGCCATCTCTTGATTTGATCTAAGACTATAGTCAACTTCAGTTCTTGCTAACATTTATGATAGAGAAGTTTATAAAGTGTTACAGAAGATTTCATACATTATGATGCAAAACATCATCATGCACAAATAAAAAAGGAAACAATGCTTTTATTTCACATATTGTGCTCAGAAGACTAGAAGCTAAAATACTGTCAGCAATTAAATTACTACCTACCTATGGTATTTATTCAACAAGAACTTTCTCTTACATCAAACCAAATTTTTACCAAGTAACAACTGCAGAATCATAATAATATTAATATTTTGTTTAATTTTCACTGGTTGAATCTAGTACATCCTTTTAACAGTTGCATCAGCAGCTTTTGGATAGTGCACGTACAGTAGTTTAAGTGTAAATATTCCTAGAAATCATGTGTTTTGCAAGTTCATATAATTAACATTAAAATAATGTAGATGATACTTACCTCTGCTTCTCTTTTCATCTTTAAGACTTTTTTTGCTTCAGTAGCTTTTATGGTATGTCTTGGTGGTGGCTTTGGAATCTGTATAATGGCTGCTTGAATTTTGGCCATTATTTCATTCTGTCTCCTTCTTCCTACACGATGCTGAATATTCAAGATCTTGTGTTCAGATACTTGTGTTGAAACAAAATATACCACATGGCCCTAATACACTACCTATATATCTATGAAGCAAAAGCAATTAAGCCATGAGGAAAAAAATCTTCCAGGAAGGAAGTATAAGAGGTTATCAGGCTTCAGGCTTGAGCAAAAGACTTTTCTTTCTTTTCTTTTTTTTTTTTTTTTTTTTTTTTTTTTTATAAAAAAAAAAAAAAAAAAAAAAAAAAAAGAGAAAAAAAAAGGGTTTTACGGTTTCGGGTTTGGAAAAAAAGTTTTTTTTTTTTTTTTTTTTTTTTTTTTTTTTTTTTTTTTTTTCAAGTGGATCACTAAAATGCCATGAAAGCAGAACATTCTGTATCTTTTGTCCACAGTTAAACCTTGTCTTAATAAAATTCTCAGCCACTGTACTCATAAATCACCATTTTTATATCAAGCAGTAGATGTTGTAAAATGTATTTTAAATTAAAGTATCATTCTACATTCTGAATAATTTGACAGCAATATGCTGGTATATGTTCACAATATTCGAGGATAAAGATATATATTTTAAGTACCATTATCAGAAATTGGTACATCTATATATGTTATGTCTGCGTTAACAAATACTGCAGTGCAATAGAAGCCCATCTGTAAAGGAAAATCAGTTTCCAGTCAGTACTTAACAGGCATTTAAAGGCTTGTAGCAAATTTTAGCTCTAGTATGGTACCTGTTTCAGATCAGAATTCAGCACAGAAAGTGAAAATAGTAGTTTTCTGGTACAGAAACTGAGACTACCATTAGGCAATAACTACAAACATTTAAATTACACTAGTTAAAAGTGAACTACAGATACATGCTGTTAGAGTGGAAAAAAAGGGTTTTCACAAAGACACTTAAAACATAAATACATAATACACCAAATAAGATATTAATAATTTTTCTTTTAAAAAATTATTTTGAATATTTTGGATATTGCTTGTATTTTCTTTTCTAGCTACATGAAGGGACTTTTTTTTCTCATTCTTGTTCATGCAGTGGAAATAGTACAGCTAAATATCTACAGTAAGATTTTCTCCCTTTAATTAGCAACATTAAATGCATCTCAAATTAGTCACTTCACTTTCATTGTTGTTCAACATCCCTTACCTAGCTGGCCAGTTCCTCTATATAAATTACAGGCTATACTTTGGGTGAGTGTTCCCATATATTAAGAAATTAGTTCTTGTTTTCACTTTATCAGAACAGCTACACAAAACTCCAAAATGTTCTGAGGCCATACCCACTATTGGTCCCCTTCCCTGTGTCTTTTGAATAATTTCTTTTATTTTTCTTGTCTTTCTTTTCTTCTTTTTTATCTTTTCTTCACAAATTAAGAAAACCTTTTACGAGGATATCTTAAACACATAGAGTTGCAAAATTTACACTTTGTCTTCAAATCTATAAATATTTTCCACGTATGACAAGATGCAAATACTCTCAATTTAACATTAAGTGATTTTTAAATATTAATGGTTTTAAGGGTCTTATAACAGTATATTGGCTTCATATCTATATCTTTAAATTGGCTTTATATTGCCATGCATACTCCTTTTATTTGCTTTTGAAAAACACGACTGGGTAGCACAGAATTAACGTGCATTTACACTGGCTTTAACTAACTCATTATGTTCACGACCTTGCGAAAATACTTCTTCAAAAGTCTATAAAAAGAAAGTAGTCACCTTTTCAGTGTCTTGGGCTCTTTGTTCCTCTTGGAGCTTCTGAACTTTCTGTTGTTCTGCAATACGTATACGAGCTATTTTATCTTCTATTGCCTTAGATTTTATTTCAAAATGCTCGGACATCTGCTGTAGTTGCAAATCAGTCTGACGTGGTGTTAAAGTTTTCAAACGCTACATTTAGACATCAAGCAATGAAGAGTCAGAAACAGTAAGAAATATATTTAAATATGATAATTTTGCAATAGTAATTTCAAAATGTGTTTTCCTGTGTTAATGTACACAAAACAACATCTAAACATGGTTGAATATTTTTCAGAAAAACAGGACTAGGTCCATTGAAAAGTACATGCAGATTTGAACAAGAACACTGGCAGATTTTTTTTAGTTTAGAGAAAAGGAGGTTGAGGGTGACCTCGTCGCTCTCTACACCTTCCTGAGGAGGGGACATAGAGAGGTGGGTGCTGAGCTGTCTTCCCTGGCATCCAGTGGCAGGGAACATGGGAACACACCAGGAGAACTTTAGACAGGGCATTAGGACTCATTTATTTACCAAGAGGATGGTCGAACACTGGAACAGGCTTCCTAGAGGGATGGACAGTGTCCCAAGCCTGTCAGTGTTTCAGAGTCATTTGGATATGCTTTAAGTTCTGGTCATCTCTAAAGGGGTCAGGCTGTTAGACTAGATGTGGTTGTAGGTCTCTTCCAACTGGAACTATTCTATTATATTCAAACTGAAATACAGAAAATTCAACTTAAACATAAGGAAAAAAATTACTGAAAGGGTGATAAACAATTTGCCCAGACAGGTTGTGAAGTCTCCATCATCTGAGATACTCAAAACCCAACTGAACAAGGTCCTGAGCAACCTGCTCTAGTTCACTTTGCATAGAGCAGGGCGGGTGGATTAAGTGACTTCTCAGAGTCCCTTTCTAATGTCACCTATTCTATGACTCAAATGCCGTTCTGAACCTACCTGTTGACAGGAGCTACTCTCACTTGCTCTTTCATCTTTAAGCTATCCCTTTATAGGTGAAGGGATGTTTCGACTGTTTGGTAATATACACTCTTTGGTAAACTTTCTGCTTATAGACTATTTTTTTGGAAGTGTGCCAGAAAAAAAATGTGAAATCTCACCCATCTGAATTTGATTCATGCACATGCCTAACATTACTGTTGAAGTCAAGAAGAACACCTTTAACAGATTCTACTATATCAACACTGACTTCCTCTTAGATACTTTCTTTCCCCCCCCCCCTTCTTTTTTTCTTCTTTATACTATTGAGCATCTGTTTATTGCAGGCTGGAGTGTAGTATAAATGTATGGAGAGATGAGCAATAGAAGGAACCAAACCCCTGTGGTACAATGCTCAATAGAGTTATAAATAGGTTTCCTAGAGGGAAAATTAGTGTAAGTTGACACCTATGCTGCACTGCGTTCTGCAATCTGTACTCATCATATTAATAAAATGGCAGCTGCTGAACAACTACTAGTCTTTGCTGCTATATGTATTTTAAGTCTGGAGAAAGGTCAAAAACAGAGCAGGTAACAAAGAATGAGCCAAAACTTAAGAAACACAAACCACAGATAAACGATACCCTCATGAATCACACTGTGCAATCCCACTGTCTATGTGTAAGCCATAGCAAAGTAGTCCTTCTTTTTGGGTTTTGAATAGATTTAAAAAGTAGGGAGGGGAAGCATGCAATATGCTTGAGAGGTACATGTAAATATGCTAACTTTTTTCCTATGTATTTATACAAAATAGGCACAGTTACCTCTTGATACAAAGCACTTTCAATAGACTTAAGCTTTGCAGTTGCTGCAGGTCTCATTGCTTCCATAGCTACTCCAGTGAGCTTTGTCTTTCTCTTTTTTTCTAAAGCAATATACAATTCATATAAAAGCTTTGTTGCAGCTCCATGCTGTCCTGTCATGATGTCTTGGGCCACATTCTCATTAAACTGTACACCAAGGAGGTGAAGTGTAGGCTCCAGGCGAAAAAAATTGTTAAGTTTTGCATTTGCAACCCTATATGATTAAAACAACAATATAACAATTATAACAACAGTAACAAATGAGAACATAAACTCATTTACAATTCCAACTTGCTGCAATAAGCATGGTTGTGACATTTATCTTATACTAAGGAAGGTAATAAAACCACAGAAGACTTCCTTAAAGTAATGTGACACATTTTGGCTTAGGTTTTATACTGCAGTACATGTAACTACATTGGTCTACTAGGCAAAACTTTCAGAAAAAATAGAGAACACATTGGGTTTTATAAATCTTGATACATGCACACACAAAGTGTATCTGACAGTAAAAGTTAACCCCTAATTGCAGCTAATTGCATACCATCCGCAGAAAGTACAGAGAGTTAGAATAAAGTTTCTATATTAACTGTATCAATCCACTTGATAGTTGGAACTCGATGATCTTTGAGGTCCCTTCCAACCCTAACCATTCTATGATTCTATGATTCTATATCTAACCAGCCAAAATATAGGAAATTATTAAAAAAAGTCTACATAATCTATTAACCCTTGCAACACTTTGTCGTATTTTTTCTCCAATAAAAATAAATGGACACATGGGTTGGAGTAGTGGTGAAAACTATGTTCTCAATGCACAATTTACATTCAAAACTGAAATAGTGGATTGCTGATTAATATTTATCTTGATATGCAGATTCTCCAGTGGAAGCACTCGAGATCAATAGTTACACAGGCCAAAGCCCAATAACAATAAATTATCAGTGTATCGCAATTAACACATGAAATTTCATCCAACAAATCCACTTAACTTGAACCTGAGTCAGATTAGCATGATTTCTATACTGCTCTATCACTTGAAGTCCTTCACTTGAACCGACTAGCTTTTGAGGTCAGGCAAGCTACAGCATAATTCTACAAAAAATTCCAGTTTTATAAAGACCTTTTGATAACACAGTATTCACCTTATTCCTAGATGAAATAGTCCAGGAGCTCATTATTGTCACTATTATAACCCACATCTTGCACCCCCAGTAAGTTCGCAGACGACACCAAGCTGGGTGGCAGTGCCAACCTGCTAGAGGGTAGAGAGGCTCTGCAGAGAGATCTGGACAGGCTGGATCGATGGGCTGAGACAAACAGGATGAGGTTCAATAAGGCCAAGTGCCGGGTCCTGCACTTGGGTCACAACAACCCCCTGCAGCGCTAACAGGCTTGGGGCAGAGTGGCTGGAGAGCTGCCTGGCAGAAGAGGACCCGTGGGTGTTGGTCGACTGTCGGCTGAACATGAGCCAGCAGTGTGCCCAGGTGGCCAAGAAGGCCAACAGCATCCTGGCCTGTATCAGGAACAGCGTGGCGAGTAGGGCCCAAGAGGTGATCGTCCCCCTGTACTCGGCACTGGTGAGGCCTCACCTCGAGTACTGTGTCCAGTTTTGGGCTTCCTACCATAAAAAAGACATCGAGGTGCTGGAGCAGGTCCAGAGAAGGGCAACAAAGCTGGTGAGGGGTCTGGAGAGTAAGTCTTATGAGGAGAGGCTGAGGGAGCTGGGGTTGTTCAGCCTGGAGAAGAGGAGGCTGAGGGGAGACCTTATTGCTCTCTACAACTACCTGAAAGGAGGGTGTAGAGAGATGGGGGTCAGTCTCTTCTCCCAAGTCACAGGCAACAGGACGAGAGGAAATGGCCTCAAGTTACGCCAGGGGAGGTTCAGGCTGGATATTAGGAAAATTTTTTTCACTGAAAGGGTTATCAGACATTGGAATGGGCTGCCCAGGGAGGTGGTTGAGGCACCATCCCTGGAGGTGTTCAAAAGATGGGTTGATGTAGTGCTGGGAGATATGGTTTAGTGATGGTGTTGCTTTTTGTCTGTTGTGCGGGTGTCTATTTTTGTCAAAGCTAGGTTGACGGTTGGACAAGATGATCTTTAAGGTCCCTTCCAACCTAGAAGATTCTGTGATTCTGTGATCTTATTTCGTACACTGAAGCTTACAACTGCTGCTTGTAACTGCAGCTTACAACTACTGAACACTTTACTGCTATTAAGTCAAGGTTAAGGTGAGTCCTATTGTCAGAAATCACTTCACATGCCTTGAGAAGCTGTGGTGATATCACTTGTTAAGTTTTTGTTCTGTAATCCAAAAAAATGGAATTTCTTAACCTTGCATCATAATAAAAAAATGTTGTAAATCTGATTTCAAGATTATTGTAAGAGTTCAGGGAAAACTACAGTATGGTATTTTTCAAATATGGACAGCCAAACTGGAAAAAATTTTCCAGTAGTACTCCTTTTTAAAAAGTAGTATCACTTTCCCAATTCTTATACCCTTATTTATAAGTCCAAAAACTATGCAACATAAGCAGCTAATGTAGTTAAGTAGACCTTGACTAGTTAGTCACAGTGACCCTACATTCTTTTGTTAGTGCCTTCTACATTACCATTGCCTATCTTAAAAAAGGAATCTACATTTCTCCCACCACCACCCCAACAGGTATGGTCTTGCCTTGGGCTGTGCTAAATACTAAAGTGATGTCAGCTTATCAAATGATCCATGAATAATATGTTTTTCCGTAATAGCATGCTCCAAATTTTAAAGGTATTTATAGATATAGATACAGGTTCTTGCAGGATTTCAGGGCCATACAATGACTGTTACACAATAATGATTAATTTAATGTGCAGGAAAACTACCTTGGAGCTGAGAAAACATTGCCACCATTCTCGATAGTTCTCAAAATATCAATGTCAGTAATTATTTCAAAAGTAAATAATGATGAAAAGTAAAAATATCAAATTATCTTTACAAAGTTCTGGATTACTGTGGTAAAGAACACCACATACAGTTTTTCTCTATCTTATACACCAGATACTCCCAGAAAAATGCTTTTCAGGGCCTTTTCTGGACCTGCTCCAATACAACTATGTTCTTGCAATGGGGAGTCCCAAACAGGGTACAGCAGTGCCATGGTCTCAGCAGTGGTCTCAGCAGTGCCATATTGTCTTAATGTGGTCCTGAATGCTGTTTGGCCCTCTTTGCTGTAAGGGCACATGGCTGGGTCATGGTCAACTTGTTCTCCTCTGCATGTAAAATACAAGTAGCTGTTGATTTACTGATAAATGTATCAAATCTTGGTAAGTTCTCAATGTCTTTTCCACTATGCATTAGCAAATCCTAACTGAAAGATAAATATTTTGTCTAATTTGCCTAAGAGACATGTTATCCATAGTACTAACCTGCTCTGTGAAAATTGATTAAAGTCATCCTGAAGACCATATTTATATAGAAGTTCTCCTAGGAGGTAGCCAGTAGAAAATTCTTCTGAAAATGATCCTGGAACTAAGTTTGGGGTTTGGTTATTTAAAAAAAAAATTAAGATAATTAAAAGATTGTATACATTTATCTTAATACAACTTGTTATTATTTTTATAACAAAATTAAGTCCAAACTTTATTAAATAATTCAGAGGAATTTTAGGAGATTGATCTAGTAGTAACTAGTTTCCAAGTCACAAATAAATCTGCTTTCACTGTAGATATTTTGCAACCTAAGCTTTAGGTAGTAATGTAATTCTTACTTTCAGTGTTAATAAGTAAACATTGCCATAATTGTCATTAAGATTGTAGCAATGTTTCTAATGATAATTACTAAATTTTTCCTAAAAAATTCAAAAGAAACCAAAGCTAGGTCTAATGTGTTTCTCATCCATGGAGAGTTTCTCCCGCCTTGCAGAACAAATGCTTCTCCAAAGCCAGCACAACACCTGCCATTCAAAACAAAGCACTGCTTTGCAAACATATTAAAATATATTTTTCCTCTGGAGTCCTTATTAGCAGGTGAAGCTTGAGCTCCTCATGTCTCCTGGGAACACTTGCGCCTTGAGGAAAATTAACTTCACCTCGCAAAATCACTGTCTTGCGCATGAAGACTGAAAATGTACCTGAGGAGGTACCTGGACGGGAGGAAGCAGGGGGGTAGACACGCGGGAGCGGGCCCCGGCGAACACCCCACATCCCTCGGCGGGACGAAGGCCTGAAGCTGAGGCAGCCCCCTGCGCCGGCGGGCGAGCCAGCCGCTTCCCGACCCCTCACAGCTCAGCGGGCATCCCTCCACTTACCCACGCTCCGGGAGAGCTTCACCTCCTTGTTCAGCCACTCGCACAAGATCTCCGCCATGACGGGCGGTGGCGGCGGCGGCGGCGGCGTCCCCTCACGCCCGCCTGGCACAGCGTCCCGTTGCCATGACGACGGCGGCAGCGCGCATGCGCGCCAAGAGGCGGCCAACCCCCCGGCTGCCACCCACGAACGGGCCGCGCATGCGCGGCAGGGCGGGGCGGCGGGTGTGGTCACGGGGGGCGGGGAGACGCGGAGCAAGGTGAGCGCGCGGCGAGGAGGAGGAGGAGCGCGTGGCGGGGTGTCGCGCGCCGGGCCGTTGTCCGGCCCAACCGTCGGCGGGGTCGTGAGGCGCGGAGCGGGGCGGGGCCGGGCCTCCTTCGCCGGGGGTTTCGGGAGGAGGGGGGCGATGGCGGAGCACTGGGGTCCCGCCAGTCACAGGTGGTCGGTCGCCGGCTGTCGTTGAGCGTTGGGTGATCCTGCGCTGTCTTCCAAGAGATCAGTCAGCGGCGCGGCGCCTGCCTTCTCCGCCGCGCTGCCCGCCCGCCACAGCCGCCCCCCTCCTGGCTGCCTGGCCGCCTCTTTAGCCGCTTGTTTCATGCGCGTTTAAATCACCACTTCCCCATTCCGCCCCAACCTTCGGCTGCTCCTCGCTGAATTCGCTCTCGTGCCCGGCTGAAAAAACAATCCGGCAGGAACAAAAAAAGCTAAAACAAACAAACCAAAGAAACCCCAACGTTTAATGTGTGTGGCTTTCCCCAGCCAGTTCACAGAATGGCAGAAGTTACTCTGTTGGCACCGTGTGGCAGGGGGAGGGAGAGCAAAAACTGCTGGAAATAAAAGCTGTGCCGGTTTAAATGTGGGGTGGTTTTGGGCAGCAGCGGTGGAGGTCCCGGGGGCGATGGTGTGCCCCTGCGGCTGCACCCCACGGGCGCGGCAGGCGGGCAGCCTGGGGACCCGGGCTTGGTCTGAAACAAGCCTCCCTGACAGGGCTTTCTGCTCTGTTTGTATTAGCTCATCTTTGGGTTAGAACCCCACTGAAATATCATCCGTAGTTTTGGTGCCCCTTTTCTTGAACAGCGTGTGACAAAAATGTAGACCGTTAGGAAGAAGAAAACTGCATCTGGAAAATACAGTATAAGCCGTGGGAATTCAAACTGGCTGTTTCTCTGCAAAATATCTATAGTTGATTTCATTAAGTTCCCAAGCACCTTTCAGTGCAATACAGAATCCTAAAGGATTATTTAATCGAGAAGACAGGAACAAGAGGATCTAGCTAATGACAGGAGAACAACAAACTAAATATAATTTTCAAAAATGATGGCGATTAACAGTTGAAGTCATAAAGAACTTGGAATATTATGGATTCTGTTCTAAGTCTTCTGATACAAATCTCTCTCTGCTTTTACCGAGGGTATGCTTCAAACCAAAATAAATTACTGGGTCTTATAAGAGTAAATTTGTAACTCTTATGTTCTCAGAATGTCATTGTAGAATTTGTGGCATGTGAATGAATCCAGCAACAGGAAACTTCAAGAGAGAGGAAGTACTTTCAGGGCAAATGTTTTAAATTAATACTTATATCCTTTTAAACAACTAAAATTTTGTTCATATGTTAATTTATAAAAACATCCAGAGTTTAGGGGAATAAAAAATTTTTGTTATTTTTTTTACAGTAATGTTTGCAGTGGGGATATCTACCACTAGCATCTGTTTCTGATATATCAGAATGCAAAGAAATCTCTTCTAGCTTTGTAATTTTTTCCTCAGCTCCAGAAATCCACGTATATGTATTTATATTTTATGTAGTTAAATGCTGCTGTCATTAACAGAAATTTATGTTGATTTTAAAAATGCAAACCAGACTGATTAATATAAAGTTTAGAACTTATTTCTATATTGCCTCTGACTTTGAAAAGCCGGTACTTCCCGTATCTTTAAGAATTTTTTAATGGAATATATTCCTTCAAGTTCATTATCATATGCAAGGGTTATTTAAACAGCTAATTTTGTTTAAAAATAACATTGGTTGTTCTGTCTGCTGAGAAGGACATAAAAAATTCGTAGTTAAATAAGGTAGAATTGTGAGATGTGGAATTTCGTATTTAAATCCAGTACTGGTTTGCTGTTTCATCTAAGATGGCTTACCTCTTAATAAATTAGTGTAGCTTTCTTACAGAATTCTGAGTAGTGATGGAATAATGTAGTAATCAATTTGTACTTCATTCTTTCCCTGAATTTAAGAACTTGGAAAGATGTCTATGCTCTACACAGTGAAAGCCGCGTCCAGAGAGTGTTTAAAGGAAAATTCTTGCAGACAGCAAGTAAGGTAACTGTTTCCCTGATTCTTCTCTTGCTGAAAACATGTAGCATTTTTAGATAATATGGGTATTTATTCTGTGTTCTGTTAATTTCTTACTTCTCTGCTAGGAATGCCAGTGGGAATGTCCTGGAAGATCCAAACTGATTTTCCACAGGACACTGTACTTTGGATAACATAGCTTTTAGACACTAATTCTGGTCTACAGAATGCATCTGAAGTTTTCATCTAGACCGGTGTATTTTAAACTTCCTATATCTTCCACTGTGCTTGCTCTGAAAGAGCAGAGAATTTTCTATAGTTTGTATTTATAATGGTCAAAGGAATAGAAGACATCAAACAGCAATTTGCGGAGCACAGAAATTGAAGTGCCAGGGATTCTCTCTTCTGTTTCATTCTTTTTGCCCTCCTGAAAGGAGCTGCATGTATGAAGAACAAAAAGAGAGTTTATGACGTAATCAAGCCTAGGGCTTTTGTGGAAATTAGTTTTGAATCACCTGGATGTAATAGTGGTATGTGTGAAGAATAAAAGGGCAAAAAATTCAATTTTTAAAATTATTATCACAAAAGGACAATCAAAATACTTTTAAAGGTTCAAGACTCTAAACTCAAGGGGGAGTTGATTTCATCTTAATGCAACAAAGATTAAGACAAGTCAAATGGAGAAGTGCTTGAATTCTAAAGTTAAATTTGTATTGAAGCCACGCAGACAGTAGTAGCCCTAAATTGATACAGAATAATTAAAAAATGTATGGGTTCAGGAGCTTCCTTTTTTATACCAGAATTTGTTGCTGCCTCACCAAAACTGTTTATAAACATACTTAAGTCTAGTTTTTTGTAATGTTGTGTTCTTTATTATTTACTTGTATTGTCTATTTCTTGGGAAGTTACAGAGAGGCTAAAGAGAATCCACTTCTGATAAGCCTTTTTTTTCCACTTTTCCTTCTCTAGATTGATTATTCATTTTACTTAACATTATTTATTCCCTCTGGTATGACCAAACTTCCAGTTTGAAATTTAGTTTCAACTATATACATCCTGTACAGATACTCTCCATCTGGCACATGTGGATCCTTATAAGTGTCTGTACTGAGGACAGAAGAGCATCAAGCCCTAAACAAAAAAGCCCATGATCTTGAGGAAAACATGTATCCACAGCTGTTTGCTGGCTATATCTCTCAGTTCCCTTGTCTATATTGACATTTAGAATCCCATGACTCTGGAATTCTGTCCTGACTCCTACTTTGCATTTCTGTGTTGCTGCAAGACAACAGCCATATTAATGCCTTCTGTCTCTGACAACAATAGGTAACAAATTCTAGGCAAGAAATTAGGGGAAAACATATACTAAGAGCTGTTAGCGTATACTAAAACTGCCTACAGAATTTTCTCCCAGCCAGCATTGATTGTGGTGAAGGACTTTCTGCATCCACATAAGCTAGTACAATTAACTTTTCCTTCCATGAATACATGCAGACACTTTTGAGTCTGTGTAAATGTTGTCTGCGGCAAGGAGTTCCATAGCTTAAGGAGGCTTTATATGAAGGAATTGTATTACCTTTCATTATGTGAGGAAGTACATAGTTTTGTGTATTTTTGAGCAGCATTCTCTGCTCATTACTTTCAGTGCTGTGGTATTTCTTTTATTTTTAAACAAGAACATTAGGCATCTGACTTGCAGGTTGAACTGATGTTTCAAGTGCTGTCTTGATTCCAGTCGCTCTATGTTCCAATAGATGTATGTTATATGTACATTTACTGTCTTATCTTTATTCTTTCACCTTCCCTGTTTGGGGCTCGGGGGAGTTGTGTCGCTGGAGAGGAAGTGTTGTTCCTATGGCATATTCTATTCTTCTTATATACATGAAGAATGCTAAGGTGTGAGTATGCTCTACAAATACTGTAAATAAAGTCTGCTGCTTTAAATAGTTGTAGAACAAACACTTGGCACTGCTAATGTGGCTACGTACAACATATATCAAAGAACTGCAGTTACTGCTTAAGAGTCCTTTTTTATTTTAAACAAGTATATCACCTGTGTTGAAATATTGATGAGAATATGTGATGCAGTCTGGAAAATCCCAGCTACACTATGTGCGGGAAAATATTATAACTGTGTCCATTGTTTTCTGCACTGCAAAATGGATTATTAGGACGTAGGTTCAACTTGAATAAATCTCAGTAAATTACTGGACAAGATTAAGGCAAGAGAACTGCAGCAAAATTCTGACACTATGAAGAAAAAACAGGGTGAAATGCATCCAGTATAAGGAACAACTACAGTGTTATGGTTAACTGAAGTTCCGTTTGTTTTCCATACTGGTAACCAAGTAATGAAGAAGATAAAGTAACATATTGCACAGAATTGTAACTTGCTTGTTGTTCTAGGACAGAATGGTTCTGTTTAGTTCAGTTATGGCACTTCCACATTTAAGCCAAGGTCTGAAGAATTTTTCAGCTTCTAATGAGAATTAAGTGCCTCCAGTGTGATGTGTTTGTCAGGAATCACTGGCATATAACGACAGAATCATAGAATAGTTTGGGTTGGAAGGGGCTTTTAAAGGTCATCAGGTCCAACCTCCCCTACAGTTAGCAAAGACATCATAAACTAGATCACGTTGCTCAGAGCCCGGACTAATATTGAATGACATTTGAAATATTGATGCTGTTTGGTTTCATTTGTGAGAATACTTAGGGAATTACTAAAGCAGCTTTTTAGATTTTCTTTTTTTTTTTTTAAGTGTATAGATTTGCTGCTTTTTTGTTAAAAGCTCTTGAAGAGATTCTGTGGCTTTAAGGTAGACAGTGTTTCTCA